CCCCCCCCCCCCGGCTTCTAAGGCAGTGGTCCTCAACTTTTTTAGACTCCAGGCACCCCACCCTAATTTTTCCAAATTCAGTGGAAGTTCATTTCAGAACATAATTTAAAAAAACCCAAACAAGTAGTGACATATTAATGAATGGACATCACTTTTTTTTTTTCCTGAAATCCCTTTATTTCAGATCCCTCTTTTTAAAAAACATAATCTTCTAGGGTTTTTTTTAATGAAAATCATGGAAATAAAGCAGAAATACTGCTTTTAAGGCAGTTGAGAAGTGGTGGGAGAAGTCAGAGACTACAAACTCTTGAGGGTTCCCAGCCCCATAGTTGTGTGGGTGCAATGGTCTGGCTACAGGGTAGGGACCGAGGTTTGTAGCACAGTTGGGAGGAAATGAAACTTCCTTTCCTTCCCAGCCGAGCAGCTGGCCTGGCAGCAATAGTTTCGCACAAATAATTCAGCAGTGGAGACACTGGAAACAAAGCCCCTCTTCTTGCAGGTTGGATGCAGGAGCTGGGGACTACTTGGGAAGCTGGGAGCAGTGAGTGTAAGCTTCTCCTGAGCAGGAGAGGCATCGAACAGACTATGGGACCTGCCCCATGCCCCCATGAAGATGCGGTTCACCCATGCTCCCAGCTAGGTCCTGCAGCAATGGGTCTCTGTGCCCCCGCCCCCCCCGCTCACTTTGTAGCTCCCACGGCTTCCTATGCTGCCTTCCTATGTGCAACGGCAGCTCGTTCTCCACTTGCTCCATGGTCACTGGGGGATGCCAGCACCATCCAGTTCAGGCAGGGCTAGCTCAGCCAGCTCCACAAGACCCTGATGCAAAGCAGGGACAGGTGCTTCTGGGCTGCTTCTGGGAGGATGCACACACCTGTGACACCCTTAAAAGCATGTTGTGGCACCCTGGTCCAGAATCACTATTCTAGGGTGAATACCGCTCTGTAATGTTGCTTACTGCTTTGAAATGTGTTGAGGTGCAGGGAAGGAGAGAATATAACAGCTTAATGGTTCCCACTGAGAGTATTTCCAGATGCCTGAATTGCAGTCTGTACAATAGATGGTCCTTTCTTATCATTCTTTTGAAGTCTGGGGATGGATGGGAAAGCCACTTTGAAAGATGCATGCAGTGGATTACAGTAAAACCAGTGTAATACAACTGAAACCTACTGCGGCTGGTTCCATGATCGAGCAAAATTTCATAACCATCCACAGGGATATTGTACTACAGTACGGGTGGTCAACCTGCAACACATGCCACAAGTGGCACGGGCAGCCTACCACGTATGGTACATAAGGGAGGGAGTAGGGAACACAGTAGCAAGTAGGACAAGGAGCAGAAAGCGAAGCAGCAGATCAGACAGAGCATAGGGCAGAAATTTTATTTATTTAGTGAATGCAGACCTGCAAAGCCAAGCAATAGCCTCCTCATTAGCTGAGTTCAAAGTTATTAATCCACCATTTGTGGAGGAGAAACTCCTTGCCGATGTGCGGCACTGTTTGTATCTCTCTGCAAGCTCACAATGGGTTAGCACTGAGGCCCCAGCAGCGAAGGCTGGCTGTGTAGAGGCCATGGCCTGTCCTAAACCTGTTCAGCAGGGACCACTCTCACCATGGTAGTTCAAAGCCAGCAGGTTGACAAGTGGGGTTTGGCACCAGAAATGTGTTTGTGACTTCCTGCCATGCCCATTCCCATTGATCCAGGGGGCATCTGCAGACAGATCCTGGTCAGGGAGATTGCTCCATAAGGGGCATCGCGAAAGAAGGTGGGCCATGGGTGGATTAAACAGATCATTGCAGAGTGGTAGGTAAGGCACAGCACAAATAGTTTCGACCAATTTTCGGGTCATTATCCGTCAACGGATGTGCAGGGGAGTGATATTTCCAAGGATGGGAAACCCGGGGAGGGGAGTTGAGTGGAGGGTTCCAGG